CTACATAATAACAGCCATTAATACAGAAATCTGGTGTGGTCAAATTACATTTCAAAACGATAAGCTTCTCTTGCATTCTCAAAGAGCAAATGGCATCAGATACACATCATATCAGAGCAGCTGAACAGCTTTCCAGAGAGGACACAATATGCTGGGCTCCAAGGAATGGCATAGATAGGCCTGTAAAATCTGGAAAACTGGTAACTTGTTTTCACTACTGTAACAAATACCTTCTGCCTGGAGTATCAAGGTGCATTTCAATCTTGCTCCATAGCAGCATCTGTAGTAATAATTTGAAAACAAACACAGAACCTATGTAGAATTGCTTTTCACATTAAAAATTCAGGCAGATTCGTTTCATTGCTGGCTTTTGACGATTTTCAAAATGCCGAAGAATTATAGGAGCCTCAGTCACATCAAGTTTCAGGGAGATTTCAATATGTATACATGATATAAAAAGCCTATAATCTTGCTGGCATCATGGAAATATGATGACTGGAGTGTTGGTGACTGGAGTGTTGGAATGGAAGCATACAGGCTCTTCAGGAAGGAACAGGGGAGACAAGGATGTGGTGTCACCCTCCAGTGACAAGCTGGAGTGCATGGAGCTCTGTCTGGGGATGGATGAGGAACTGACCGAGAGTTTATGGCTCAGGATCAACCATCCTGATATCTGTTGGAGAAACAACACAGCAGGGTGTAAACTGTACAGGAGGTTCCAGGAGTGCACGGATGGTAACTTCCTTCAAGTGACTGAGGATCCAATGAGGAGAGGTGCTGTTCTCACCAGCAAGGAGGGGCTGGTGGGGAATGTGAATGAAGCTCAGAGGTTCACATTGCAAAGCTTCACTTTGCAGCCAAGGCTGCAGTGACCATGAAATTGTGATGTTCCAGATCCTTAGGGAGGTGAGGAGAGTGCACAGCAAGCTCACTGCCCTGGACATCAGGAGAGCAGACTTCGGGCTGTTTAGGCATCTGCTTGGTAAACTACCATGGGATAAACCCCTGAAGGGAAGAGGGAAGTGGTCTAGTGGAAGTTGTCCCTGCCTGTCGTAGGGGGATTTGAACTAGATGGTCATTCATGTCTCTTTGAACCCAAACCATTCTATGATTCTTTTGATTTTTTCCTTCGGCCTCGCTCAATCTTCTAGGCAGTGCTTGGTTAGTTGTTTTAGGGTCTTCAATGTGGAAATCTGATTTTGCAAGAAACTGAACATTTTTAAAAAGTTACTTCATAAGAACACACCGTCAGAATTTCAAAATGTTGCAGTTCTACAAAGTTAAAATGGCTTTTCCAGGCAGTATTAAGACTTGTGGTTCTGTGCGGAGAGAAAAAATGTCTTGAGTGTGGGTTTCTCTCCACCTGCCCCCATCTAAAGTCTTTGTTGCACAAAGGTATAATCCTTAGCATTTCAGTCTTTTTATGGAATATAAATTTGATGTTGCACTTTAGTCTTTGTTTTTCAGTCTTCACTCAACTGATCTTGCATAAGTGCAAGTAATTTATTGTTTGTTAAGGATAAGAATCCGTCATATTCTATGGTGCCTGTTTAACTACTCTTTTCTGTTGCCTAAGAACAGACAAGGAGAGCTGCAGTCCTGCAGGGGGTATTACAGAGGTTTGTTTTCCTTTCCTTTCTGTTATTTGAAAGAAAGTTAAACTTGTCCATTGTGTGTTTGCAAGTGCTTTGCATTATGGATATTTATATGATAGGTTCCCACTGCTTTCTGAACAGATGCAGGGCAACCAAATGTTCATACATTCAGTCCATATTTTAGCAACTACAGTGTCTGATATAATTTTGGAAGCATGTGAACATCTTCCACTGGCAGGAAAAGTTGAAACCATATGAATATGATCTGCTGTAGTCCAAGGAATGTTGGTCTGTCAGAATATGGAGTGGGAAGTGATCATGGAAGTTGTACTGTCCATTCCACAATTACCAGAGAATTTTAAGGGGGAAAAAAACCAATAAACCCCAAATCAAAAACCAAACCAAAAACCGTAGAATAACACATCAGAAATGTGACAACTCAGAACTGAATCTGAACAAAGATAATGCAACATCAGTATTGGATATTGCTGTAAGTGTCTCACGTAAGAGTGGAAAGGGTCTCTTTGGTTTCTGTGTTCTGATACCTGCTGTGTAAGGTATCCATCATAATCTCATTATACTTAAATATATTCTAGAAAGAGTAACTTTAAGTATTGTTCCCTTTTGATATAATTTAAAATCAGTCTCATTTTTTTAAAATGCATAAAAATTTCTATTCATTAGCTAGCTAGTAAATGAAAAAGTAGACTTTAAAAGTAATAGTTAATTCAGTTGGTTTTTAAATTGTCATGCATTGTACCGTAGGTTTTAAGCATCTATTTCTAGCTACTGATTTCTAGTTTGAGCCTTGTAGATTAAATTTCAACTAAAAAGAAAGTAAACAGGAGGTCATATTTATTAGGCAGTTCTTGGACAAGATTACACGTATCGGTGTGTTCAGAAGTGTCTTGTGTGGGCTACTTATTCTAAAATCTCAGCTTCCTGACCATTGAACTTCTTCATGACATTTCCAGGCTGTCTTAAGACTTGTGGTGTTGTGCTGAGAGGAAGGATGGCTTGAGAAGCATGTAGTTTGTTTTCTACTACTTGCTTTTGTGATTATCCACACAGATCTTGTTATTAGTAGAAAAGCTAATGCTTTGTATGTATGGTACAGACCTTTTGGTAATCATAATCTACCAGAAACTTTTCTGTGGAGTTCTTTAATGTTCTGTCACATACCAAGTATTGAGGCAGAACACTGGATAGATCTTACCGTCTTTAACTATACTGCACTTTCAATTTAGTTTACTTATTATTTGTATGGTGTATAATGCATGTTGCTTTGCCCTTTGCTAAAGGCAGCCATTTGTTGTTGCTTCTTCCTCTTTGTTCAGTGGCACATGGATTTTACGTAAAGGATTTGCCTCAAATGATTTGGAAATAGCTGTTTAGTTAGTATGTGCTACAGTTAGTCAAAGTTCAGTTAAGTGTTAAGAAGTAAGGGACTGTCCAGCATCTTTAGATGCATGGTCTCCTGATAACTGTAGTCAAGTTGTATATGCCCAATTACAGTTATGTGCATCATAGAATCATAGAATCGTTAGGGTTGGAAAGGACCTTAAGATCATCTAGTTCCAGCCCCCCTGCCGTGGGCAGGGACACCTTACACTAAATCATATCACCCAAGGCCTCGTCCAACCTGGTCTTGAACACTGCTGGGGATGGAGCATTCACAACCTCCCTGGGCAACCCATTCCAGTGCCTCACCACCCTAACAGGAAAGAATTTCCTTCTTATATCCAACCTAAACTTCCCCTGTTTAAGTTTTAACTCGTTACCCCTTGTGCTGTCACTACAGTCTGTAATGAAGAGTCCCTCTCCAGCATCCCTATAGGCCTCCTTCAGACACTGGAAGGCTGCTAGGAGGTCTTCACGCAGCCTTCTCTTCTCCAGGCTGAACAGCCCCAACTTAACGCTTCTTTTGATGCAGCCCAGGATACGGTTGGCTTTCTGGGCCATACCTGTATGTTATATTTAGTACAGTTTATCAAATACCCAGTGCTTGTGTGTTCTGAATTCCGTGCTTGAATTTAAAGTTCACCTCCTACCCCTGTTTCTTTCTCACAGAAGTGGCCTTTTTCTCTTACTGGCTTGACCTAGCTACTTACGATTTTTATTTCATTTGGCTACTCTTTAAACGTGTGCATTCTTGCGTTTTGGGGTTATTTACTACCCATCAGTTACTTTTTATCCTATTTATCATTTGGGTGCTTTTTATTTTTTTTCCATATAGAATATCCAGATTCACAACCTTTATGATAAAGACGTTTTTAGCCCTGTTAATATAATTTTAGCTGAAGAAGGCCTTTTACAGAGTTACGGTCCTTCTCTTAAAACCACTCTCAGTAAAATTGTTCCTGTTTTTGTTTCAACTGTTGTAAGTTGATCACGTCTGCTCATGGCTCTGTAATCAGGCACTTGGCACTAAAGTCAGCTAAAATGTACTTGGAGACAGAGCTGTGAGAGAAAGGCATGCAAAATGACCGAAGAACAGAAAACATGCTGTTCTTTGCTGCGTGGCCTCTGGACTTCATGTTTAACACATCCTCCAGCAGGTAGTCGCTCCCCATGCTTTTGCTTAACGTAGCTGTGGCTGGTTTCTTTGTTCCTGCTGTAGTGGATAGTACTGTCTATTCGTCTTCGGCAGACCCTGGACCAGAGGCTGGAACAACATGAGCATATGCAGTGCTGCTCTGGTCTCCTCCCATTTTGCACTGCTACAAATCGCTATACTGGGTGATGGGCAGTGCCGTATGTGCACAGACCATATGGTATTTTCTCCTCTATCTACAGGTGGAGTGTTCGTCATAGATTGTAAAATTTGCTATATGTGTGGAAGTTCAGTTTTCCTTTTGGAAGCTGCTTCTGTTTGCTAGAATTAGAGATGTGTACTTACATGGAAAACATGCAGTATTGCTAAACAATTATTGACAGTAAAGGATGTGACATAATGCTGCAGATTCACCTGAAGATAGCCCTGAAAAGGAAAACATGAAAATGATGTCTAAATACTTATTGTGATACTTCAATATCAATATCTAAATACTTCATTTCAAGAAATGAAACTTGTTGGTCATTTTCATTAACATCAGTATGTGGAATGAAGCTTCGAAAAGTTGCCTCCCAAAAAATTACATTTTCATGAGCACTGAATTTTGCCTTTAAACAGGGAAAGCATACTAAATACGTGCTAATTATGAGTTTTGCAGTGGCTTGACTGCTAACCTGAGGTCTGTATCCTTATCCACATTCTACATTCTTTGAATTCATCTAGGTATAATATTTTTAAATGTTTTAAACAGCAGATGTGCATTGCTTATAGATTTGTGTAAATGTTGATGCGCTGTATACAAAGTATGTCTCCCATACGATGATCTGTTGACATTATTCTCTGTTGCTTAGCTTCAGACAGTAAAGTCATGACATGTGCTGCTGTTTGGAGGATGCCGAAGGAATTGGAATCAGGCAGTCATGAATCCCCTGATGATTCATCAAGCAACACTCAAACCCTGGAGCTACTCTGTCACCTTGACAACACAGCCCATGGCAATATGGCCTGGTAGGATTTTGCATATTTTATACTACTAGAAAAAGCCTAAAGGATAGACCTGTACTGTTAGTTTTGTGCAGATTTATATTGTAAAAGTTATGCTAGGCACTTTAAAACCATTCCATTAAAAAAAAAAAGGTACAAATTGGATTTTTAGCCCCAGATGTTTCATAGATTAAAATCATTTATGGTAGTCCTGCAAACACATATGGAGTAACAGCCTGTGTACTGTTTTAATGTGTTTCTCTCCACCTGCCCCCATCTAAAGTCTTTGTTGCACAAAGGTATAATCCTTCGCATTTCAGTCTTTTTATGGAATATAAATTTGATGTTGCACTTTGGTCTTTGTTTTTCAGTCTTCACTCAACTGATTTTGCATAAGTGCAAGTAATTTATTGTTTGTTAAGGATAAGAATCCATCATATTCTATGGTGCCTGTTTAACTACTCTTTTCTGTTGCCTAAGAACAGACAAGGAGAGCTGAAGTCCTGCAGAGGGTATTACAGAGGTTTGTTTTCCTTTCCTTTCTGTTACTTGAAAGAAAGTTAAACTTGTCCATTGTGTGTTTGCAAGTGCTTTGCATTATGGATATGTATATGATAGGTTCCCACTGCTTTCTGAACAGATGCAGGGCATACCATAAGTTTTAAGCATCTATTTCTAGCCACTGTTTCTAGTTTGATCCTTGGAGATTAAACTTCAACTGAAAACAAAAGTAAATTAAAGGTCATATTTATTAGATGGTTCTTGGGCATTATTGGAGAGATCATTGTATTTGGAAGTGTATTGTCTGGGCTACTTTTTTTCTAAAATCTCAACTTCCAGAATGTTGAATTTCTTCATGGTAATATCTATTAATTCTTTCCTGCTCATTTTCATATGAATACTTCTGTTTATAAGTCTTTGTTATTTAAAAAAATCCCTTTTTATTGTTAAAATATTTTGATAATTAGTTTCCAAAATAGTTGGGAATATTATTTTTTGTTTTAATCTTCACTGTTTACTCCTTAAGATTTGTACTTTTTGTCTTTTAATTTTCCATAATCTGTTTCTGTCTGATGCTGGGATGCCAGAACTCTGTGTGATAGCCTGATCACCAGAGGAGAAATGGGGATATATTACTGCTTTGTATCAGGATGTGAATTTATGTGAATGCCAAAATGAAGCTTTTATTTTTTCTCTAATATAGCTTTTAGGAAGTTCATGTGCAGTGTTGTTTCCTGTTGTCTGACTTTGTTCCGTAATAGCGCTCACAATTTTCTTCTACAGTTTAATATCCATTCTATATATGTGTATATATGCACATAAAGATCTGAAAATGTCCTCTGTTATAGAGAGATGAAAAGCATAAACAGAACACTTGGCATTAGCGCCCCTCACATCATCTCAGTCAAGCACAGCTGAGTTGAAGGATCTTGTTCTAGAGCAGGCTTTTCTATTCCTGCCTGAATTGTAGTGGAAACATTTCACATGAATGAGTAAAACAAACATTTTTGCTGAATGTGTATCACTTATAGGCCATGTCCCACTGAGTGGTGTGTTGACTACCAATAGCAACTTAAATATTCTTTTCTATTACACATTTTAGATGTTTTTTCCAAACATCTCCAAAATATGAGACTATTTTATGCACTTATGGTACAACTGTCGTTGTAACCAACCATAAATCAGAAAAGCAATTTTCCTCAATGCAAAGTATAAATACTTTTGAAACTTCAATGTAAGACCAGCATTCTAGTGTACACAATCGCTTTGTATGAGATCAGCAGTGGTCTGGCATCATGCACTTTCAGTAAGAAGGGCAGTGCTTATTTTGGCTCTGTTATTTGCCTTACCATTAGAGCATTCTTCTGTACATTTTACTCTCAAGACACAGGGTGAACGCTGAACCCAGGGTTTCAATGTGACCACATGCATTTTTAAGGAGGTTGTCTAATCCACAGAGTGCAGTAGAGTGACATACCAGGTCTGCTTGGTTAAGGATGGAAAAGTTTGGAAGTGATTAATCAGAAAGCATGCTTAAAAAAAGAAAATAAAAAAAAAAGGGAGTAAAAACATACAACGGGCTTTTATCGCATCTTTATATACTGGGCAGGGCAGAGTGTTGTAGCTGACAGTACAGTTTAGAGATGTAGGGTGTGATGATCTCAGCCTTTGTGGCACCTGCTGTGAACTTCTGTGATTCCAGACAGTAGCTCATGGGAAGGTATTTTGTGTGTCTCGGCATCTATAGTGCAGTTGTTTTACAGTGTTCATGGATCTGGGTTGCAGATCTTAAGTAACTGAGATTTGACTATAATTAAAAGGAAAAAGCAAAACTGTCGAAAATGCAATTGGCTATACACTCTGATCTCTGAGACATTACAGGCAAGTGGAAACAAAATGTGCTTTTCTACAGTTCTATTTTATCTGGATTGTGTGAGATACTGTGTTTAAAAATTAAGAGAAACTTTTTGCTTTCAGTTACTGAGATTGTTTACTACCTCTAAGCTTTGCATCTGGAACCCACTAGAATTTTTATTCAAACTCTTCTATGGCATAGAGAGTTCAGAAAATTAAGCAGATGCTTAAATTAAGCAAATGAGTAGGCCTATTCATTGCTCTCTGTGGTTCAAGTGTAAGACTTTTTTCATCCCCTATCTGCTGTTCCTCATGTGAGCCAAAATGCAAAGATTTTGAGTGCAAAATTCCCATGTGAATTACTTCCAGAACTACAGAGATACATGGGCATTTTTGTGCTTGAAAGGAAAAAAAAAGCTACTGCTATGCATTTGTTTTGTTGATAGATGTATGTATTCACAGTGTTACACATATATAACCGTAGGTATGTTGCTTTGTGCAGTGTTTTAAGTTTCAGTGTGTATAGAAACCTGCCATTTGGGTATCTTTCAAGAAGCAGTCCAAGGTACAGTCTGGATGGGAGAGGCCGAGGAAACATGACAGCAGTTAATGAGATTTTGATACTCCTCTGAGTGCAGCTTGGAGGAATTTCTAAAACTGTGTCTGCTAAAATCCTAAAGTCTTCTGTTTTAGAAGTAACTTACTGTCTACATCTTCCTCAGTTTTCCCACACTTTTTTGATAGTAGTCTTGGCAGAGTAGTACTCAGCAGAGGGTACTACAGGTGGTGAGAGAATGTAATCTGTGTAATCTGTGAGATCCTGAACTTGGAACTCAGCCGGGACTACTTCTTTTGTCAGAAGTAAAGCTGAAGGTTCTCCTCTTGCAATGTGCTGGAAGCAGGCATGCCTATATCTGCTTAATATCCTAATTTTGCTTTCCAAGTTTGGCAGGCATAACATACTGCTGACGCTGCTCAGTAGCAAGGTATGTGCTTCAAAAGAGTAGGGAAAAGTGAACTAGTTTGATGGTTCATGGAGTAAATTTGGAATAAAATAAAAGCAAAATAAGTAAGGGAAGCCTGAAAGGTGCGGAATGAAGGATTCAGGTTTTGTATACAAAACAGTAGTCAGCTGCCAAAAAAGGTTGGAAAGGGTGTTAGGAATAAAGATAGATCACTTTGTTAAGCTCCTCTACTTGCTGAAGCTGACTTTTTTTTTTGTTTTTGTATCCCACTCAATCAATCCTGAGTATGGATTTGCAGCTATTACCACATCTAAGAGAAGTTAGAGAGGAAGATAAATTATAGGTTTTTTTAGAAGTCACAGGTGTTTCAAGAACTCCAGGTTGCTTACCACTAAAATATTAAACTGGAATTTCGAATTCACAAAGGAGAAGGTTACTATAAATGAGCTATTCCCACAGATTTTGTATGTACTTACATGTACCCATGTATATTTCACCTATGGTCTCCAAATAGAGAAGTACTGAAAAGTACCTTGGCTGTGTGGCTGCACAGTATGGAGCAACCTCTTTAAGGTCGGCTTTGTACCAAAGCACAGATTTTCTGTAACAGTCCTTTCAGCTTCAATGGAAGATTACTTTATTTAAAATACATAAAGTACTATGCATAACATTATTGCTTCAGTTTCATCATGTTCATCAGTGGAATGAACATGCTTAACTCTCACCTGATGAAAGTTAAAACACATCTGTAATTGATGCCCTGACAACAGATAAGTGCATTCCAGAATTGAGATCCAGAAGCATTTTACTTATTCTTTCTGGCTTTTACAATAGTATTTAAAACATTGTCAACATTTAAGAATAATTCTTCCACACCTCGTTCATTCCATGCATTTACGTTCTCCATCAGTCACCTCTGATATTACAAAGATGAAGTACACAGAAAAGGTTTTTTTAAAAAAATTTACTATATGATAAGTGTTTTCACTGGGCTGCTGTCATGGGTTAAGTTTATCAGTCATTCTCCCCTCTACAATCTCATTCTTTCTAAAATAGTAAAAATTTTAACTGTATTTTATGTGCCTCTCACTTCTCCCTTCTTAATTCTGTGTGGTATCTTCAGTTCTTTACAGGATTTTGCTCTTTTGAATCTTTGATTATCCTATATTGTATTATATATAAATGCATATGTTCAACCATTTGTTGTCTCTTTCTCATATTTTCTCTCCCATTTTCCCCTTTTATCCTCTAAAATGTGTCTGGAACCAGTAGAGTAATTTGTAATATTCATGTCTTTCATTCCCTTGAATGTTTTTAGTAATTTGGAGTAGTTAGTAGTGTGCAAGTTTAGAATGTTAAGGTATTCAGTGGAATTGTATATACTAAGGAATAATTGTGATTCATTAATTGGATAGTAAAATAGTAAATCCTTGTGTGCCAAGTTTATTTTGCTAAATTTTCATCAGAATTTGACTCTAGTCTTGTAAAGCAAAATCTGACATAGAAGCAAGTACTGAGGGAAACATATGCTGTGTTTAATGTATACGAACTTGCTCTATGTGTTCACTTAGCTTATGACCACTTCTGATAATTTCAATAGATTTCATACATTACAATGAAAATTAGTTTGGGTTAAGTCTTTGCAGTTGTCTGTGTTTACCTTGGATTTGTAAATCATGATACAGAAAACAGTACAGAAACTGT